AAACAGTTCCCAGCAGACGCAGCTATCCAGCAGGAATCCGATGAAGTCATTTTGCTAAAAATTCTGTATTCATGTGCAAAATTGCGAACCAGGGGTCCACTGGGAAAAATGAAAAATCTTAGTTTGTCACCGTGATCCACAGAACAGACCATCTTTATGTGTCCCAGAGGCAGAAAGGTGAGAAAAAGGAGCCAGCTCGGTCTCCGTCCCTCAAAGACAGAAGAGGTCGGGAACTCTGAAGGTGCTCCTCTCTGTAAGGCACAAATCACGAGGGCAGAAGGTATGCAGCTTTCGTGCTCTTTCAAACCCATCTCCCCGCCTTGAAGATCTTTGGAAATTCTTAATTTTGAGTCAGAGATAAGTCATCATGGGCTCAACAACCCTGCCCCCAGGTTCTGGTCTCTCCATTCTCCCTCAGGTCACAGCAGCTTTACTAAGGCACAAAAAGCTCATGTCCAGGCCCCGTGCAGGCTGGCTGAGGACAGAGGTAGCTGCAGGGGCCTCTGAACTCCAGGCAGCAAGTGCTGGCTTCAGCAGGACGTCTCCAGGAGCTGGGAGTGAGGGGAGCCAAACAGCCATCAGAAGAAACAGGAGACACGGGCTGGAAGTTCAATGTCTGCAAGAGGGGGCCCCAGGTCTCTCCAGCCCCCAGTGCCTGCATAGCCCTCACCAGCTAAACCATGCTGAGAAGCGGGTAGGCTAGATAGTAGCCCACAGCAGAGCCGAGGATCACACCAAAGAAGATCCACGTGTTATACGACATGACAGCCAGCATCATGAAGTAGCCTATGACCACCTGAATGACATGGATTAGAGACTGGCCAAAGTGACAGAAAAACCACCTAGATGAAAAGGAGAGTCAAGTTAATGGTGGTAATGAGCTGGTGTCATGAATTAGAGCAGCTGAGTTACAGGACCAGCTTATTTATAATTTGTGTGCTTGACCCAGAAGAGATTTCTTTCTAAAGAGATATATGAGAAACCATTGATAGGGGACAGGGCCTGTATAAGGAGCCTTGGGCAATCATGTCTCTACTATATTCAGCTCTGAGCTTCCTGGCATCCAAGGCAAAAAGGGAAAATGAGATATGTATTCTGTCATGTCTGATAAAGGATAATACAAAATCATCAGTAAGGCACGTATGTTTTTCTTTCTGAATCTGCTGTGGGAGGCAGTATTACAATGGAAAGATCAGCTCCTAGCTCTGCCACTTACTGTGGCTTAGCACAAATATCTTAACCTCTCTGAACTTAAATTTCCTCATCAGTAAAGGAGGAATAAGGATACCTCCCTTGCAGGCTGGTTGTGAACAGCAGAAACACCCGCGTAAGGAGCAGGCAGGCTCGGGAAGCACAGCTGGAGCTGGAGAGAGGGCAGATGTGGGACCCCACGCGGCTGCCTTACCAGACTGGGGTGGGAGGGAGGGAAGAGGGAGCGCCCCTGCCAAGATTGGTCCACTGCTGACAAGCAATCCTTAATATTTGTGTAGGGACAGCTGCAGATTCTATCCTGGGTTTGGAAGCCTTAGTGACCTAGGAAAGGCTGCTGAGATTTGGAGGAGGACTGGGTGGACACCCCTGTTGCGGGACTGAGGCCTGCATCAGAGTTCTGAAGATCTGAGCCTCCCGAGTGGCTGTTTGTAGGGCTCTGGCCTAGGCACCAGGAGACCTGGGCTCTAGCTCACCTCACTACTTACTCACTGTAAGCACTTTGGCAAGTCCTGGTCCTCCCTTGGGCCTCAGTTTGCTTTCTGTGAAGTGGGGCCAATGCCCTCTGGGCCCAGCCTCTCTCTCAGGGTCAATGTGAGCACGTTGCCCTTCCCCACACACCGTGCCTGTTACCTGAGGCGGGTTCTGCTGACCGGGGGTGGGTCTGAGCTGGAAGAATCCTGGTCTGTCTCCTCAGTGAGCTGGCTGGTGGGGATGGACATGCCCACTGTGGCCTGGTAGAGCAGCTTGGCTTTGCCAACCTTGATGCTTTCATACAACACAGCCAGGAGCAGGACCACCAGCACTGAAAGGGCCATGCCTGTCAAACAAAGCTGAGTTGCAGAGACCTGGCCAAGTAAGCACTGATCCCCTTCTGGCAGCTTCCCTCAGGACCCGGGAAGGTGGCAGCAGAGCGCCTCCACCAGTCCCTCTGAATCCATTCCATCTCCCTCTCTTTTCTTCCCCACCCTCCTTGGGCTCAGAACTTCACTGTCTCTTTCCCTTTCCGGCTCTTGGGATGGATGGCCTATTTTGGGGTATGGCTTTGAGATCAGGAAGAGAAACCAGGTCTGGAAGAGCCAGGGGCCGAGGCTGAAGAGGTCACATACCCCTGCCCCCAGCGGCTCCCCCCCACCCAGGCGGCACAAGTCTCTGTCATGACTTCTTGTTAAGGGAAGGGCATGTACAGCAAGGTCCTGAGTAGGAGTATGTATAGGCAAAGTCTGGAAGGAGGGAGATACTGCAAAGGAGTCATAATTACCTCAGCAGACTAGGATATAAAAGATTTTTATTTTCTTCTCACCTAATTTTCCAAAGTTTCTACTGTGTATATGCTTTTATAATAGTGGAAAACACCACTAAGTTATTGTACAGAAAACATGAAGTGCTTAGGAGAGCTGCTGTAAAATTAGCAGCTAATTGCTACTTCTGTTTTACAAGACAAGGAGGGCTACTAAATGGGCCAGCTATAGTTATTTTATTGGGCTCCCAGGAGGAAATCATCTACAAAAGGTAGAAGGTGATATTTTAAAATATAAAATGACATGTAATTACATGCACGTGGTATGAATTCAACAGGGACCAAAGGACATACAGTGAAAGGTAAGTCTTCTTCCCAGCCCAGTCCCTAAAACCCCAGTCCTCTCCCCAGAACCTTTTCCTATACAGCTCTCCAGGGATACCCTGTGCCTGTGGGCCTCGACCTGTGCATGTTCTTCCGCATCTGACGTCATCCAAGTACACCTCGTACAGAGGTTCCCCTCCGTTCACACAGATCTGCCTTATTTCTGAGGCTTCACAGTATCTGTGATACAGTCTGTTGTCCAAGGATGGCCACCCATCCCACATGTTCTTCTTAGAGTGTCAACACCCCTGCCATCAAGTGGTGGAGTCCATGTCCCCTCCCTTTTAGGCTGAGAAGACCTTTGTGACTTCCTCACTGCGCAAGGTGCAAGCGAGGCTCTGTGACTTCCAAGGCTAGGTCTTAAAAATCCCGTGTACTTCCACCTTGTTCTCTTGACACACTCACTCCTGGAACCCAGCTGCCCTGCCACAGGGGAAGCCCGGGCCACAGGAGACGCCACACGTAGTTATTCAGCTGGTAACTCCCGCCCCCCGCCCCCCACCCCCGTGACAACCAGCAGCAGCCAGGAGACACAAGCGTGGGGAAGCCTTCAGGAGGACTCCAGTTCCAGCCACTGTCTGATTGCACCTGCATGAGAGGCTGTGAGTGGGGACTGCTTAGCTGAGCCCAGTCAACTCGGAACCTCGAGAAGGAATACTACAATGACTGGGCTTACGGGGGTGGTAGGGGGTGGTAACCCGCTGTAGGGATGACCGAGCTTTATTTCATCAGCATCTGCAGGGCTGGGCACTTGGGCCATTTTTCCGTCCACTTTTAAGATAGTTATTTAAGTTGAAAAAGAACTATATCATGAATTTGGGCCCAGCTCTGCCTTTTCAAGTCAAAGCAACACCATTCTCTTGCAAACTGGTGTCTCATTTGAGGTCTAGCCGGTAGCAGCTGTTCTGGGCTTCTGAGCTGGTGCTGTATATGGCAGGAGGTAGGTGCTAGGAGGCCACAAGAGGCCTCGATCTAGTTCTGGCTCACTACTTACCCTCTATGTGGCCCTCTTCGCCTCTTTGGGCTTCAGTTCCTTCTCGTGTCATAGAGGCAAAAACTGTATACTGGCCTCTCTCTGGGCCTTGTGACGATCAGTGAGATATGGAGCCTTTTGTGATGTGAAAGGCAGTGCTTGGAATTATAAATGCATAGTTCCTGCTCAGTGTTTATGTAAGAGGAGTCAGGCTCACTTAAATGTCCCCAGAGTCCAACAGTGAAGGGAACCCAGGCTCTCCACTTCCCAGAGCTACAAGGCTTTCCAAGCTATAAGCCTAGGCTTCCCAATTCTTACCTGCAGGACTGTGGACACTCCAGAAATCAAACAGAAGCACCACCTCATTGGAGAAGATGAAATGCATCTGAAAGAGAAGGGAATTTGCATTTCAGGGGGCTTAAGGCAGTAAACGTCATGGTCCCTAATGCTCTCCAGCAGCCACCCCTAAAGGCCTAGAGGAACGAGGTCACTGGTCTTAAGGGCTGGAAGGGCCACTAGTGGTCATCAGGACCAACTGAGGCCAGACAGGGTAGGGACTTACCCAAGGTCCCACAGTGGGTCAGCAGCAGAGCTATAATTGAGCTGGCCCTATTCGAGATGGACGTGAGGTATAGGGGGTACCACACAGGTCAGTGTTCTCAGGTCATGCTGAGATGTCCCCTCTGTGCCCTCCAAACCCAATGGGGAAGGACTAGACTGAGAACTGACTGCCTCTCTTTCCCTGGGGTCCTAGTCATTCTGCCCTGGCCATGTGTATCATGGAGGGGCCAGGGGCAGCTGTCTCCACTCTACTCCACATCTGTGCGCTCACTCACTAAACATTTGCTGACCCCCTTCTGTGCCCAGCATTCTGGACAAAGGTTAACGTCTCTGCCCTTGATGAGCTCCCAGCCTTACAGAAAGAACAAAGGTAGATGCACTGACCGTGCCGCACCCATCTGAATGCCCTTCTCAAAAAGCGCCTTGCCCGGCCTGTGTTTGGGGTGGCATCAATGGCTTTTTGTGCATTATCTCATTTCACAACCGTCTTCTATGTGACAGGGACAATTAGGCCCATCATAGAGAAAGGAAAACTGGGGAAACTAGGCTCAGAAGGGTCACTTGCTGAAGGTCACAGAGCTAGTAAGTTGGCAGAGCTGGGATTCAAAGCCGGGTCGAGCTGGATGCCAAAGCGCTGTGCATTCCAGGATACCATGCTGCCTCTTGCTCACCAAGGAAAGACAAGAAGAGGAAGAGAGCCGGGTAGCAATCCTCAATACCCACACCAGGCTTAATGACTGTGTTTGGCAAGATTAAAGCCGGAGGGATCAACATTAGTTCACCGTCTCAGGGAAAGGAAGGTCTCCTCCCATCACTGGGTAAGTAGAACCTTGGTCAGCAGCAGCAACTCTTCTCCAGCTAAGGAGATCCTGGGCGAGCGGGATCGGGTGATAGAAGCCTTTGCCTTCTAAGACAGGTATTAGAATCCCCAAGTGTCAGAGCTAGAGTGTCCTTAGGAATTTTTTTTTATTGTGATATAATTGACATGTAACTTTATATTAATTTCGAGTATACAACAGGATTCGATATTTGTATATATTGTGAAATGATCACCAGTTAAGACTGGTTAATATCCAATACCACACAAAGTCACAAAGTTTTTTCTTGTGATGAGAACTTTTAAGACCTACTCTCTCAGCAACTCTCAAACATACAATACAGTAGTATTAACTATAGTCACCAGGGCAGCACATCCCCAGGACACATTAGTTTTCTCAGAGGCTTTTGGTCCCCTGGCTTTCAGCTTTTTTCTTTTTCTTTTTTTCCTTGGCCAGGGATCACCAGCAAATAAAATCTTCCTTGTAACTCCAGCATATAAAACCAGGGCTCTGAGTGAAGAGGGGAGAGCAGTCCAAACTCCGCTGGAACTCAGTGTGAAAAACACTGGTCTAGTCCAACTTGGCCCCTCTCTAACCCCATCTCATTCCCAGATGGGGAAAATGAGTCCCAACAGGAGAGGGATTTGCCCAAGATCTCATAAGAAAATGGAAACCTACGCAGTCATTTAAAAATCATGTGGAAGAATTCTAAAATAAAAATAGATTCTTACTCCCCCAATGTGAGGGGGGGTGTACTTGTTTAACGTAAAAGCTGAAACAGTACCAAAAAGAAAGCAGAAATCATTTTGAGTCCTACTATCCAGAAACATCCCTTGTTAAGATTTCAAAAAGCCTTTTTTTTTTTTTTAACATATAATGTATTATTTGTTTCAGAGGTACAGGTCTGATGGACAGGGGAAAGCAAGCACAAATCATCCTGTGAAACTCCGTTGACACTGGAGTTATGCTCATTCAGCTTCAGCAGAAGCCTCGAGCACCATCTCTGCAGTGGGGAAGGTGGCGGGTGTTGCACCATGCCCCTTCTCTGAGTTCACCTAATAAAGCAGTTGGCATGACTGGAATGTCCCCCAACGGCTAGTTAATCAGAGAAGTTCCCTAACTGGCTTCCTTCTGTCATCCTTGGGCCTGGGCCAGCTGTCTCGGGGACCTCAAAACAGCTTCTGCTGTAGACTTGAACACCCACAAAGCAATCCAAGTAATTCAGCTGAGAAACACTGACTTTGGTTTTGCTAGGGGTGCAGATGCTGGAGATAGACAGATGAGACAAGTCCTCGGCCCTCGAGGAGTTAACCGTTTGCTGGGGGGAGAGGGAAGGGAACATTACAACAGGGTGAATGTGGTGAGTGAGAGGAGGCACAGGGAAGGAAGCCCCCGGGGAGACACCTAACCCGGCCAGGAAGGCAGATGGCTAGGACATCTTCCCAAGCAGGAGGATCAGGAGGTGGCCAGAGGAAGACGGACAGTCTAGTATGTTCCAAGCTGGAAGCGCCCAGACAGTAGTTCTACCTGACCGGGGAGCGAGGAGTCCAGGAAGGATAAAGGCTCACCCACCCTTGCCTTTTTGCTGGAGAAAAAGATTCAAATCAGCACACCCTGACTTGGGGTGCCCTTTTCAATGAAAGGGCCCTGTGGTCAGATACGTAAGAGGCAGCGCCCTACTCTTGTTTCCTCACTTAGGCAGAATCTCAGCCTCCAGCCCCTGAGTCTACCTTATCCTCGCCTTCTTCAGGGCCCCACCCTGGGCAGGGAGGGGCTGCGGTGAAGAAGAGAGCAATCGGGGACTTGTTTTCTTCTTTATGTTCGAATCTAAGGTTACTTACACTTTGAGAAGAGCTCTCTCATTTATAAACCCAAGAGTTCTGGGGGAGGTTAAGGGCCCTGTCCTGCAATGCCTGGCTCAGGAACTTCTCACAAGCTCTTCCCATCTGTTTCCCCTTTTAGAGGGCTAGCAGCAGGTGGGGGTGGCCGTTTGACTAAATGACCAGTATTGGCTTCCTGTATCTTAAATTCTATGATATTCACGGAATGAAGAAAATTATGATTTCTTCAAAGACCAAAGAGTCTTGCAAGCTATCATTCTCTCCACCCAGATGAATTCTGCCTAAAAAACCAGTTTGTCTGAAATGCTACTTCCTACCCAAATGTAGGGAGGATGGAAAGCAGCTGGACCTGGGGTGCTCTTCCCCGCCCCCGCCCCCGAGATTCAGACCACCAGCTCGCCAGGACAGGGAGCCGGCCCTCGGTGTGTGAAGGGCACGGGGACTTCCCTCCTGACGGGGGCCTCTCGGAATCTCCCCCAAGTCCCTGCGCCCGGGGCAGGGGACCTCCGGTCAAGACTGTCTTCACCCACCGCGCCCCCGCTGCTCTTCGGGCCGGACTAACTCCCAGCAGGAGGCACGAATAAGAGAAAACCCCACAGCTAAGCCACCGCCGGCTCCGCCTCCCGCGTCCCCTCAACCCTGCTCCCGTCCACCCTCTCCGCGTGGCCGCTGACGGTGGCGCCGGGACTACCGCTGCCAGTCGCTCGGGACTCCTCGCTCCGAGGCCGTCTCGCCGCCGCCGCCGCCGCCGCCGCCGCCGCCGCCGCAGCAATCGCGATCCGGGCCGGGAGGTCACATGGTCGGGGCGAGGCGGGCGCGCGGGCGCCCGGGAGTTGTAGTCCCCGCGTGTGGCCTCAGGCGGCCTGTGGCGCACCCACCCCTACCCAGCCAGCGGCGCGCCAGCCCGAGTCGCAAGCACAGCGCGGGCGACCACCTGCGCTCCGTTTGGCCCCTTACCTTGTTTTGCACTTGACTTGTCTTTGCAACTATCATTACAGTTTGTTGCTCTTCTAACAAACCCAGCGAAGATTAACATGTTGAGTGAAAAATTGTCAAGTCCATTCTATGGACAAATAGCAATAAATTAGGAGTAAATTAAATTATGCCCCCGGGCTTTAGTGTAGCCATTCTTTTTCTATCTTTCCCAGTCTGATAAGCAAAAAGCAACACACAGTTTTAATTTTAACTTGTATTTCTTTGATTGCGAGGGTGGTAAACTTTTTTCTTACTGGTATCTTGGTTAGTGTGTTGACTCTCCATTTCACCCATCCAGTTTTGGTGGCTGGAGGGGGAGACGTTTCTGGTGGATGAGTGACCTTTAACAGTATTTCATTTTTAAATATACTTAGGAACACTTTGCCAGTCCCCCTGTGGGAAAGGGGAATCCTCAGGGAAACCTTACCAGAAACAGTAGTAGGGGACTTGAGCCTGGAGTATGACCTCAGTTCAAATCCTGAGTCAGCCAAGTACTGGCGATGGGACCTCAGGCAAATGGTTTTACGTTTCTGAGCCTCAGTTTCCTAGCCAATCAGATGAAAATAACAGAATCTATGTCATAGGGGTATTGTGAGGCTTAAATGAAGACCCGTATGTTAAATTTTCAGCACTGCACGGGGCAGTGGGACCTTGCTCAATAAATGATGGGCCTTGTCATCACCAGCACAAATGCTTCTGGACCGGAAACAGATTGCAAAAGGTCAAGACACTTGCTTAGGGTCACACAGCTTCTAAGAGCTTCAGTTTGAAGGATAGTGGGGGTTAGAGGGAAGTCAGGGATGGGGGCAGCCTCGGGGAGAGAATATGGGACCGAGACCATGATGAGGTCTGGGAGGGAGGCCTGCGGTGGGGGAGGCACTAGCCCATGGAGGAGGCAATTGGGAGAAGGGCTTATGGATATTCTTGAAGCATCTGGGCCCCAAGAGCTTGGGAGGGATTTGGTGATTTAGGTGGAATCATCTGGGGAAGTAGTAATAAGACTTGACCTTCACACAAGCAGGCTCTCATGCACCCGCTTACCCCCCATCTCCATCCCCCTATAGAAGGATTGATAACACAGCTTTATTCATTTGACTGTTTTTGTTGGCTTTGTCACAATCTGATGAACTTCACACTTAGTTCTAACTTCCTCATGTGTGTTATGCTTATCACACTTTAGTCCTGAAGTTCTAAAGTGCCCCTTTTCTTTCCGACGCACCAGAGACTCCCCTCCTCTGGCCCCCAGGCAGAGAATTTGGTGCCAACCACAGAATCCCAGTTCACAAGATCACACCAGAGTGGGCCAAGCCTCAGTCCATGGCAAGATTCTTTCCGGGTTCTGTGTTTTGACAATCCCCTCCTCCTGAGAAACAACAAAGAGCCCACGCTTTTCTTTCCAGCACACACCTAGAGCCCCTAGACAGAATCCTCAGTCAGGAAAGACCATGCTGCCTTGGGGGTCACAGAGATCTGCAAGGGGCCCTTTAACTTAGGCACTCAGGTCAGCCGTGGTCAGTTGGTAGAGGGGAAGTCTAACCGGTCATTTCTCCTTCCAACACTCAATAGAGGAACTTGAAGTCTCATAAAAAAACCTGCATGCGTAAAATGTTATTCCTGCAGAATATCTGACCTTGGTGTGCAGATAAGGCTGTGTGACCCCAAGAATGCCACCATCTCTCTCTGGGCCCCACCGAGGGGTGGAATGGATGACCTCTAACTGACCCTTCACATGCTGATGATCTGCGGTTATAAATGAGCTTGAGGTTGGAAGCCTCACTTTATGGCTAGGATTTTTTATTTTCTCCAGTAGGCTCCACACCCAACGTAGGGCTCAAACTCACAGCCCCGAGGTCAAGCAATGCATGCTGTAGCGACTGAGCCAGCCCGGCACCCCGATAGCTAGGGCTTTTGTTTGTTTTCCGTGTTGCTCCATTCAGCTAGCCTCCTCTGTTCTCTCACGAACCTTCTGTTATTTTATGTTTATGCTGTGAGCAGCATTACATACCTGCTGTGTGGGACACGGGGAGAGTCCACATATTCAAGACAGTGTGTGTGTGTGTGTGTGTGTGTATTTACGTAGTGGACTTTGTGTTGGTGAGACTGGAGAAAGCAGGATCCAGGCGATGCACAAGCTGAAGGCCATGTTTAAAGTCAGGAATTTATTCAGAGACAAAGGAGACCCAGCAAAGGGTTTTGCACTTATGCTTTTCTCCCTGCATTTCCCCCTTGTCACTCTCTTGGTGAGGCCTGCCCTGACCACCCTATTTAAAACTGCCATCCCTCTCGCATTCCCTTTCCTGCTTGCTCTGCTCTAGGTCCCCATAGTAATTTTCACTTTGTGACATGCTATTTAATTTGCTTATTCCTTATTCCTTTCTCTCCACTCAAAAAGATCCAGGGGAACAGGGATTTCTGTATTTTTGTTCAGGAAGGCAGCCCCGGTTCCTAAAATAGTTCATGTCACAAAGCAGACTGTTAATAAATATTTATTGAATGCATGAATCCCAACAGGTTCATGGTTTGTACTTCATCACTTCAGAGGAAGGAAGTGGTAGAAACCCAAGCAGCCTGTGAGACATGACAGTTTTGTTTCTCATGAGAGTTTGGGCGGCTTTGGGGGCAGCTTTTGGCAGAAGTGAGAAAATAATTTATGGAGAAGTGCAAGCAAAAGCAGGGCTGCCCTCCCCGCACCCACTGAATCCCTCCACCTAGAAGAGGGAGTGAGAACTGAAGGCCCAGAGCAAGGGGCCTCTGGGTCCGCTTTTGGCCGACCCAACAAGAACGGCAGCTCGGTGGGGCTCAGCTGGTCATACCGAGGTACAGAAGTGCCTCCACCGTCAGGACAGGCCTGGAGGGAGGGAGGAGTGGGGGGTGACAGATAATGGGTATGGGGTTCCTTTTGAGTGGCAAAAACACTCTGAAAATGGATAGTGGTGGTGGTTGCACAACTCTGTGACTATACTAAAATTTTATACCTTATAAGGATTATGTCTCAAGAAAGTTGTTATTTTTTTTGAAAGATTTATTTATTTATTTGAGAGAGTGAGAGAGCAGGGGGAGAGAATCCTCAAGCGGGGCTCAATCCCACGACCCTGAGATCATGACCTGAGCTGAAGGCAGACGCCTAATCGACTGAGCCACCCAGGCGCCCCTGTTATTTATTTTTTTTAAGGCAGTGTTATATATTAGGTCTCTCACTTTCAGGGCTCGGAGAGACTAAATATAAAAAACAAAACAACCCTGAAGGATCTGAGGCCACCA